TTATTGAAATAATTAAACCCCTGGAGAAACCATGATATATAATAATAAGCCTTTTGTATTTTTTTCTTATTGTCTTTGTGAATTTTGATTGTGACATTTTACGGTTTCTCATCAAGAAAAGAAAATGGTAAAGATAATAATAGTTACTGTACATTTGGTTGAGTCTGACATATCATTGTTATAAATGTTTTGCTTGAAACATACTGGAAAAAGAATTAGTAACATAGTTTTATAATGAGTGGTTTTTATATAAACTGTATGAAAATTCAATATATAAAATACAAAAAGATAAATAACAGTGTTTTAATAAAGTAATATCAATAATACAACACATCCTGGAAACTTACACTTTCACCTCTGCATGTTTTAGCATCTTTACCATAAATTACACCATCCATAAATGATTATCTATAAAGATTTGATACCTCTTATACATAGGTACTTTTGTGTCATTACGAATAACAAGTTACAGTTGAAACATTTTACAAATTTTGAATTGTTTTTATCGTATTATTTAATTAATTACACTTTCTATAATGACATATTAAAATATTGTAGTCGGGAAAAGAAATATACATTGCTGCTCACAAAATGTACTGTTGCAGCATTTGAAATGAAGACTTTGTGTGACAATGACAAGAATCATAAACTTCAAACATGAACCAAAATTGCTCTGCTTTATACAAAATGACTGAAACTGCTTAGCACAAAAAATGTAGACATCAGCTAAGGTCATACTTACTTTTCAAATGACAAAGAAAACCTAAATAAACATATTCGTGTATGACTACCTATCATTAGTTGTTAAAGTATGCAAGCATACATTTTACACCAATTGACAGTCTAGCATTTCCTCATATAATTTAGAATGTACTCTAACATACAGATATAATAAAAACCTGTACAGTTATTGTTGTGTATAGTAGACCTAGTACAAAACATAGTATGTGTCACAGATGAATTTTGTTATTTGAAATTCTCTGTTCTATACATGAAACCTGACATAGTTACATGTGCTAAATATAATTATATTGTATAACAGTGCAATAATAACCTAAAACAACAGATATTTTACTTGAATAGAAAATTTAGACCAAGGTACATAATCTCATCACACCAAATATGTCTATCTTCTATGTTTTGAGTTAATCAATGTCAAAATTTCATTTTTTCTGCCTTTTAGTTTCTCTAGTTGGACAATAGTTCTCATGATTAACTATTCTCTGTTGGACATAGAAACTTAGATAAGAACTAAGCTTGACTATATGTCATACTTAAAAAGCACATTCATGTCATGAATATTATGTACATACTAGCAGAAACATACATTTTACACATAAAATTAAATTTTTTGTCAGTTCTTTGCACACATTGCAAAATATGGCTTCATTAGAAATGAATGGTAAAAAAACAAATCAGTAACTTAAAGGGTAATTGGGTAGAGGCTACTGATTGCAGTGTAAGCAAATGAAACAAATCGTTTAGGAAAGAACAACAATGTGGTGGTAACATTATCTCGGAAAACATTAATATCAAACCTATATTATTTATGAAAAAAAAATATTAATACACAAAACTCTGTTGTACACTACCATAAAAAAAAGGCTAATGTGGTTTGTTGTCCCATTAATTTAGTAGCTAGAAAAAATACATTAAAACTTAAAACAACAACCTCGAAGCCAGAGTTGTTCCTATGAAAACCTTATTTAAAAGAATATCTCTAATTAACAATAAAAAGAGGTTAACTTACTTCTCAAAGACAAGAATATCTTGCCAAGCTGATTTTTCATGGTACAAGATATTGTCAGCACTAAGAGATATGTTCACTTTGTTGGAACAGTGTATTCCAGTCTCAGAGAACCATCCTTTTTTGAAAGCATCCATTCCTAAAATAATAAAAAACAAAGTAACTGAAGAAACATTTATACATACTCTTTAGTTTAACACCCCTACCTCTTCAGAATATGAAAGTCTAAGTGTATGTATAAAAATGGCTACTATGTCAAACTTTCATATGCTTTATCTGGTACTCAAATCAAATAACTGGTGGAAAGGATGCCAATTTAATAAATATCTTCAAAAGTTTCTTGGATGCAATATGTTATTCTACTCCTTAAACATTCTGGTTAGAGGTCCTATAATGCAAAACTGGTAAAGAACTACAGTATAATTACTTTACTCCATATAATACAAACAAATGCAGTTGCTGGTATACGATTTCTGACTGAACACAGGACTTTATGAGAATAGTCATTGTTTGATACTGAAATTCAGTTTTTTTATATCTTAAATAATCTAAGTCCCTTTTCTAAAATCAAGCTTGAAAATAGATATTAAATATAACATATCCGTTTATATGAGAATTTATCTGTTGGAAGTTTAGAATTTGTATTTATTTATTACATATAACTTTAAAGCATAGATTTAACAATCCCTAAAGTTAAAGTGTGTTCTGTTACTTTATCTTTCATTTCAAATGGACATCAAAGGGCTAATTAACACCCACCTAGACTATCCTATTTTCTACTACCATCTAACTACATATAGAAATTGGTTTCTTATATTTAACTCTAATTTCTAAAATACTCAACCAATTTCCTCTTAAACTTCTTTAACGTTTCAAGCTTCTACCACACCAGAAGGCAAACTTTTACAGAGGCTTATCTCCTTATTAGAAAAGTAACACTTGTACCCGAGTCTTCCCTAACTTAAGTTTGTGTTCTCTCATCTTACTGCCTGTACTAATCCCTCCATACCTGGAATCATTCTGACAGCTCTTCTCTCAACCCTTTCCAACAACATATTTCTTAAACAAGGTAACTAAAACAGAGCATAATATTCCAAATGAATTCTAAACGATTTCCTAATAGGTTGGGCCAATAACCTCCTTCCTCTTATATTCGATATTTCTATGTAAACAATCTTAAAGTTAACATTTTCTTAAATCTAAAATGTATTTCCAATAATACTTACTTCCTCTCACACTTATAGCTATTACTTGACTGCCAGGGTTTCTTCCTTTACCAAACTAAGCACTGGTCTGATTTTTTCTCACTTGCTCCAGTCTTTTACACCCCACTTAGTTGCTCTTGGCAATATTTATCTTGTGACACTCTCCACCAACGTCAATGCAACCTCTATCCTGGTACTGTATATAAGCACCTCATACAGATAATATTATCACTTTTTTGAGACTGACTCAATCCCAGTCTCTAACACCAGCTCTTATCAGAAATGCATTTTTGATTTAAGAAAATGTTAACTTCCAAAACATACTTAACTCTGTTCACACTTGCATAGCTACAATCCCACATTTATAAGGTGGAAGGGCTGGTAAAGCATTATCCATAAAATAAAGCATCTGCATAGATCATAGTTGTGCCAATAGAAGATTGGCACCCTAGTGGGAGAACCGCACTACATCCAGAACAGGTATGCTCTTCACCCAGAATTTGTGTATTGTGGGAAAAATTTTTACATGATTTATCACTACTGGTCAGGACCCAACCAGAC